AGCGGTTAAACATGAGCCATTAGATCTATTCTAATTTAAAATAGATCGAAGGGTTATAAATATTTTTCTTCAATTTTTCTGCCCACATATCCCCCGAACCCTTAGAGCATCTCTAATGGCTCAATGTCTATTTTAAAATATATGGTGAGGAGAAAAGAAGTAAAAATATTTTGTCTCCAATGGTTAATCTAAATTGTGAGATAATTTGACACGTGTAATATATGTATAGAAGTTTTTCTACATCTAAAAAGACTTCTACAATTAATGAATGTCACATCAGATTTTAGAGGCTAGGAGACAATGGAAGAGAGCCATTCATGTATCATTGGAGATGCTCTTAGTTTACTGTTCACATCATATTTTTCTTCAATTTATGCCAACTTATGCAATGAATGAAGATCCCTGTTGCCATCTTATCTAGGCTTTCATGTAAAAATATATATTGCTGAAATTCATCATGCATAACTAAGTCATTTTGTTCTTTGAGTTGTAGATCTTGTAGGTCTCCACACTCTTTTTCGCCTTCTTCTTCTTCTTCTTCTAGCCGCCGTCCTTATTTGGGATCTTCTTCCCGGCCTTGGGCTTCTTCTCCGTCGGGGCTTTCCCAGATACCGCCGTCTTCTTCTCCTCTGCTGTCTCGGCCGGCTTTTTTTTCTGCCTTTGATGTCATTGAATCAACTGAGATTTGTGATTTGGAGAAATATTTCTATTTTGTACTATTTGAGGAGGAGATTTTTGCAATGGGAGAGAGTGAAAGAGGATTTATTTATTTATTTGTTATTAATGACTCACAGCAGCCCCCTTAACCCATAATTCCCACCCTATTTACATTGACTTTTTTTAAGAAAAAATAAATTATCAGTGGGCCAGCCTGCATCATATCCCTGCCCGACCAGTCCGCAGCCCGCTGGTTGGTCCGTTCCTTGTTGGTAGACGTGCCCAAAATCCAATTTCAGATCGATTTCTGTTCGACGGTTCAACTTCATCATTTTGGTGAGTCATAATGGTACGAGATAAACTAAGGCCCGGTTTATTGAACCAGCGATCTCGGTTCAAAATTGGCCCGACGGTTCAGAGCTAGTTGGAGAAACTAAAACAAATAGTCAAAATAATCAAAAAAAGTAACCATTTAAAAAAGTAAAATAAATATCAAATTTTAAATTAAAATTTCGACGTCCAGAGCTAGTTGGAGAAACTAAAACAAATAGTCAAAATAATCAAAAAAAGTAACCATTTAAAAAAGTAAAATAAATATCAAATTTTAAATTAAAATTTTGACGTCGAACGTACGATACGGTTCGAAACGATTATAGACGGTTCTTTTAACAAAAAATGAACCTGAACCAGCCCGTATGTGTAAAACCACGGGCCAATACAAGACCCACCGTCACCGATTGCGATCGGGTGGGTTCCAATTGTGGCCACGTCTATCTGGGTACTATCAAATTACAAGTCTACAATCCAACCCTTTGGCGGGCCTACTTTTTTTTGTCTGTTCTTTTACACATAGGACCACTTAAATTATTTGTTTGGGCCTCTTGCAAATGTGCAAATACGTATTTGGTCTTTACAAACTAGAAAGGTTACAGACCGGGTTGGTCATGACCATACTAACTAAGAACGGATTTAGAAGTTATGAGTAGATTGTGTTATAATTTTTAAAATTTATTTTCATAAAAATTCACATAATATTTTTTATTTGAAGTTGTGCTCGACGAGATTTATACAGAATAAAATTCATTATATTCATTTTGCACCGTAATTAATGTGTTTTCACTAGTTTGACGATCTCATTTTCTAAAGAACAATTATATCAATGGGGTTTTTCTTTTCTTTGTTGAAGGTTGGTGCTCCACACAAATTTTTAAAAATTCCACACTACCAATAAATTAATCTTTCATATGGCATAGTTATTAGCAAAATGAAATGCTTAAGCATCATAAAATTAAATCAAAATATGATATACAACAACCACATAAAAAAAATATATATACACAGACACACAATTATTACTCATACACAGTCAATAAGACAATGATTGGAACCAAATAATATTAGCAATTACTATTAAAACCGAAAATAGTTCAAATAAAATGAAAGATACACAAAGATAATTAGACAAATGAAACAAATATATAATATGAGGTTTAAAAAGTATAACTTGTTATTAAAGAAGTAACTAAATCATCTTCTTAAGTAGTCTATTTCTTGTTGAATAAGTAGTTTATTTACTTATTTATTTTTTCTTCTTCTAAGTTCATTGTTCTGGTGTTTGTAGGAGGTGCATGGCCGCAACTAATTTATTTGATTGGAGTTTGGTGATATTGATGTATT